TCAACAGGAAACGTGTGTTAAATCAAACTCCGTGAGCAAAGAATGAAATTTGAACTTATATTGAAAGAGTGTGAGGTATTAATGTGTAAACTCATACTGTATTTTGGTCTCTAAATTAATTTTACAGAGTCTACTGAGTCTGACAGTTCGTAATGAAGCATCAGGAGTGTCCAAAGCTAAGATAACCCTGACAATAATTTGGATTTATCAATTACATTTATTTTGACAACAGAAGCAGAGTATTTCAACATGCAAATTATATTTGGATAAATACCAAGAATGGTTTTTAAATCCCCACTTGTGCAACTCAGGGTTTTTTTCTGTCTTTCAATCTATCCTAAACCCACTCGCCTTTCCTTTCCTGCAGTTTATCTAATCATCAAAATACAGAATGAAGAGCAAATCTACATCAAAATCTGATATAAAAATATTTGCAATTCAGAATTAGATCAAGTAAAACTCACTATTACCCAAATAGCTCCCATAAAACAGCTTCAAAAATTTACTGCAGAAACTAATTATGTACCTTCACCACAGAAGAAGAAAGCAAGTTCAAAAGGAGAAAAACATTGTATATTACCATTAAAGTAACAGGAAAGATCAGATGCCTTACATCTGGGGTGTGCATCAAAGTAAGAGAGGTCCAACATCTCAAGGGGTAAACAAACACATACAAAGAGCAATGACAAAATACAGGTACACATCTTAAACTGTAAGCTACACACAATTTGTACTGTAGCACTGGGCTTTTTTTGATCATTTCTCTTCAGAAAAGACAAGAGAATGGCACCATACCTACTCAGCTTTCATATTCAGGTAACTTCAAAAGTCACCCTTATACAAGTCACAAATCTTTTCCATGTTAAATCATGCACAGTTATATAAAACATCAACATTATTTTTTTAAGCTGATTTAAAATTCTCCATTTACTTTTTTTTTAATGTTCATTTCTGAAGAGGCAGTCTACTCATCACCTGGAATTCCCTGTTCTTGCATGTTATTATAGATTGAGCCAAGATCTGGTTCTGTTCAGTCCCACACACTGCTATATAATACTTGTGCACAAGGCTACACCCTGGTCTATATGACACTGCCACAAATATGAGTAAATAATTTGGTTCACAAGTTTGACGTGTCACATGACAAGGAATTTTAAAATGCCAATTGTCTTCAAGTTGGTGGCATCCCTTTACCTTCTCCTATTTAATGTACATTTAATAGAAATAAGATTTTTAATGTTTAACCAGTAGAAACAAAAATACGTTTTATTTTGTTTTATTAAAAATAATCTATCAAATCACTGCTGCCAAAATAAATCCTATTAATTACAATTCTTTGAAAATTCATATTTGAACTAACAAAAATACCTTTAATAAATATTTCAACCTTACCTGAAAAAGGCATTCAGGAGATAATTAAGACATACATATTGCTGAAGAATGCAAATATTCAGAAAAGTTACACACTATTTCTAGTGTAAGGCAACTAATAAACGGTACAAACTCTATGTTATGTTGATTTTAAATCTGAGAGGTGACAAAAGCAATTTCCTGTATGACTAGCAATGACAATGCTTTTGCTTTTATAGAACTTGAGAAACAAATAGTATTCACATTGCTTTCCTCATTATAGTATATATAATCTATAACATATATAATAAATTATACATAATATATAATACATAAAATAGTATTCACTATTGCTTACCTTGACTAATTGTCTTTCTGATTCCAACCTTTCCAGAGCTTATTCTTACAAAGACTATAATATGTGCTTTGTATGGTGAAAAAAGTTACTTTCAGAAGATGGGAAAATTAAGAGCACTGAAATAAAACCTGAAGTCTTTTACCTTTCCAACTCTTCCACAAACACAGGCAGTTGAATACTCATTACTGCAATCATTAAAAGATTGCTCAGTAAGATGTGAAATTTTGTGTTAGTCTCAGTCAGCTTCCCACTGATGTATACTTCTAATGGTTTTCACTGCTATGGCACCTCAGTATCCAAAGAAAAAGATGATATGACAAACTTTAGCAAATGGAACAATTCCAGTAGTGACCTGGAGCTGGTTCTGCCAGCTGAGACAGGATCGGTCTCTAGAGCTGCCAAGCCGTCACACTTCACTAACACTGACTTCACTTAAACATTAATAAGGAAAGAGCAGCAGACAGCCTAATTTAATGGTCAGCCCCTACAATGCAGCTTTTCCACGAGGCAGAAATGTTTGAGCAGGGCTCTGAGACTGCCTCTTGAACAGAGATGCTCTTGCTGCTTCCCACACAGCCCTCCTACTCCGAAGGGAGAGAATAATAAACTGCTCTCCCAGTCTTTACAGACGCTAATTATCCATCTCCAATAATATTTATTAAATTTATGGTTCCCTTCAGCTAAATGATCAAACAAACCCACAGAGTTAGATTTCTCAATTTAGCAACTAGATAATACAAAGGAATCACAAGCCTTATCTTTCATAACATCATTAGTTCACACTACATCTTGATAGCAAACATCATAACATCAGCTGAAACCCTCTGTTTTTAAAATGTTTAAAAAGATGGAAAACACGTAAGGATGCTTCTAACTTTTCCAAGCATGCATACTCCATACATGCTAAAGAACCCATTTCTGGAAATGTTGTTCATGCAAAAGATGGAACAGAAGAATAAAGTAGAATTAAGGAAGTAGAAGTCAATATAAATCAAATAACAATGGACATGAATAAAGCCATTTTATCAAGACTGACCCTGGATTTCTATTTAGAAAACAAACTTGCATATGAAGAAAGCAGTGATGTTTATGCAGAAACAGGTACGACATTTTCAAGATATCATAATATTCCTCATCTATGAGTTCGTTGAAGAATGACTGCAACATGAGCAAAGTTACAGATTAAAGAATAATACACTAAATAAGATGTGTTTCCTTGTAAGGCAACTAAGACTAATAAAACCAAAAGTCACAGTAGTTTCCTTTCCCACCTTCTCTTAAAGGAAAAGTACCCACACAAAACTGCCGCTCCAGCCAAGGCTGTCCAGGGCTGTACAAGGCTGACAGTCTCTTTAATGGCTACTGGAATTTTTTAAGACATATCTTGATGTGTTGCTCCTACACCTGTTAATATTCCTCTAGCCTCCTTTTGACTCAAGAAACCTATGAGACCTGTGATGCAGGAAAAGAAAACAGTTTTGTAAAATTAAAACCCAGTATCATTTCACATACCCTAGCAGGTGTCTCTTACGCTCAGATGTTGTAAAGCTACAGTTTTTCATGCCCCATCTGGGCAAACCCACCACAAAGAAAACATCTCTAACAGTGCTTCTTCTCCCACTCACAGAAAATTCTTGAAGTGGCTGGCAATAATATGTGTGTGGGTTTTGGAAATTTATTTAGAGGCAAAATAAAAATATTCTACACTGTCTATCCTGAGAAAGCCACAGATTAATAAGGAAAGAATCGTAATGCAAATACTGTATCTCACATATGCATGAATGTGAATCAAAGAACAACTTTCATGCAAATTAGATAATGCACTTTAAATTTACTAAACTAAGATATGTTGTCTCTGAGGAAAAACAGAGAAATTATCCACTAATACCATGACTGTTCAAGGCATCTTCAAAGGATAAGGAAAGAAGAATACCAGAAAGGGAATAGTTGCACAACACCAAATACTTTCTATAACAAAGTAAAAGAAGAGTGCTTAGAAAATACAAATTGCAAAAAACAACAGAATTCTGTACACTGCTCCAAAGATATGATCATCAAGATCTGTAACAGTCTCTTCCACACCCATGAAAGGAACCAAGTTAAAGAAAATAAAACCATGCTAAACAAGGCATGGATTCTTTAACAGAAGAGACAGAAAGCAAGTAACAAGCAAAACAAGAAAGAAGAATAAAGAAGTTGTTCAAGCTGTAATACACAAAAATACATCTTTACAGTGCAGATGAAAAATAGCCACAATAAACAGAGAGAAAACTCTTCCTAAATCACAAATTCATCAAGCCAGTAAGAACACAGGGAATTGCATCTCTTATCACTCTTTGTCTGTTGTGTTTGCCTTCATCTTCATGCACTACTTTTTTTAAACTGCAAGAGTCAACTTCAGCACGGTCAACAAAACCAACTAATGGGAAATACAAATGTAAAGTGATGCTATCATTCCTAATTTTATGAAGCTAGGATTAATTAAAAAATAAGCTGAACTGAACAACTACAGGAACAAAGTGAAGCCATTTCAGAATTCAAATAAAAGCAGACATCAGCAAAATTTAGAAAACATATAGGATTAAAGTAATTTCCACCACCTCCCTGTCCCAGAGGACCCTGTGCACTACCATAACCACTCACAGAGTGAGTGGGGAAAGGGCACAAGAATCTCTTGGAAAATCAAGGGTCTAATGACCATTTCTATGTTAAATCAGGACACTTAAGTACACTGTAGAAAAGAGATTATCAATAACCATCGTACTTTAAAAAGCCCCTAATAAAGCCACAACTCTAACTGCATAATTTTACTGCCCTTATGTACATTATTCAATGAAATTCTACCTTTCCAAAAACTTCTGTGCCACAGTCACATTTCACCTCATTGTTTAAAACCCTGGCAGTTAAAGGTCTTCCCACTTTGCTATTGACACAAGCAACCTACTAGTACTGTACCTAAGAAAATGAGTATGAATCACTCTTATTTCATTCTCTTTACTATGTAGTAGGTACAGAGAAGGAAATTTTCTACTACAAAACTTAGCAGGTTTTGGCAAGGCTGTCTTTCCTTCAAGAGTTACAGCTAACGTCTCCATCTCTTTAAAACTTAGCTTAAAAGAAAGTAACACAACTAATGTCAACATTTTAAAAATGTTTCCAACACCACACAACTGATAAAACAATTCCTCAGCATGCTGGAAAGGAAAATAAAAGCAATTTTTGACTGGTGTTTTAAAATAAGATTTTTCTAAAGCTACTGAAAATCTCTGAAGCAGTCGAGCAATATACATACCTGCAATTGGAATATTCTGTGATACTGACAGCTGTACGTCTCCAGTCCCAGGTGGCATGTCAATCACTAAATAGTCCAGTTGGCCCCAGTCAACCTAGAAGACAATATACACGTATGTGGAGATTTATGTGGTTTTATTTAGGGCACTTTGTGTTTTAATGAAGTCCTTGTTTCTTGTGATGGAAATAACTGAACCAAAGACCTCTAGAAGAATAGTAATGAGATGCCCTCTTAGTCACACTTTCAGCACAGGATCAAGATATTATTTTCCTGTGACACAATCTTTGCTGATCACTCAAAACTACAACTGCAACTTTATCATTAACTTAATTGGCATAATTATTAATTAATTATTTGCCAAAAAAAGTTAGCTATAACTTAAGATGTTTACTTTAAGCTGCTTAATCATGGGTTAAAAGAAATGCCAGGTAAAACTCAGGCTAAAAACAAGGGGTTTGTGCAACAAATATTTAAGACTACTTTTCTTCCTTCTTATCATTTGTTGAAACTACATAGTTTATTTACTACGTACATATTTAGCCTTTTTTTTTTTCCTGTTTTGTTGTTATGAAGGTAGAGCTATCAGTACTGGATTTTATTCCTATGATAAAGAGGTGTTGGGAGAAAAGAAAACTAAAGAAGCAGAATACTCCATATTTGTTAAATTAAAATCACCACCATAATTATACAGAGTGACAACATTCTTAGCATTCAAAAATTTAAAGTTTAATTGCTGCTAGATATCAAATGAGAGCACCTATGAAAGATACTAGACTCCATTATGAGAATGCTGTGATTACTTACATTTTTTTACTAGGACAGGTTTTCCAGGAGAGCCAAAAAACTCTCCCTACAGCATGGTACAGCGAGAGAAATGTTCTCTTACTGAGAACAGAAATTATCCTAAGGCTACTCTATGTAATGAAGGATATAATGTGTGTATATATACACATACACACTATATATATAGATATAGATATATATAGTGGTATATAAAATGGAGTTCTCTAGATAAATGTTTCCAGACAGATATAATGGAATTATATGCTATGTTTCTGATTCATAAAACATATACAAGATACAACTGTATGAGCTGCTTTAAAACAGGAAAATGCCAAACTAGAGCATTCTATTTTACACATTTCCTCAAGTGTTATTTTAACAGCAAAAAATAATCCACACTTTGCCAGTCCCCTAGTTATTGCATGGAATATTAGACCCTGTCAGGGCAACACTCATTCATTTTCATTCAGTTCTTGTATGGATGATGATCTTCTAGGGAAGCACATCCTACGTGAAATCCAGATCACTAACCATTAAGCACTCCAGTGAGAAATGGATTTTTTTAAGGCAGACTAAGGAAAAAGGAATACTTCAGAGCACTTGTGAGAGAACAGGGATGGAAAAGGTTCGCTGAAAATTCTAACTTTTGGTGTCTATATTAGGGACTCTCAGGCACACCTCCCTTCTCTTATTTTCTATACAAAGGCTGCGGGAACACTAAACCATGCCTAAGACAGTCTAGCTCAATAGGAAATGCCACTTCTGTTAACCACAGCAAATGCTCCATTTTTTCACATTTAGTATTGATCCATGTCATTTATAATATCCACATTTTGTCAAAAAATGGCATACATCTAGCAGACTTCTAAAATCAATTATCATTCATAATCATATTGAGACCACATAACCCCAAAGAAAAACTACATATATGTGCAAAAATACACATACTGAAACAGTCATGGGTAGAGAAGCTGTTTTATCTGAAAAAAAAAAAAAAAAAAGTCTGGTTTTCATTTTGGTTTTCTTAACTAATTTTGTTTAGTCATTCTCCAGATAAATGCCAGTGCTGATAAAAGCCTCCTTGTCCAGTAAAATCTACCTTGCTCACATGAAGGCATGAACTTCAGATTTCTATGTCTCTTAATTAAAAATCAAGCATTATAATGGTGAAAATTTGAAATTATATAGATGTATTAGTTTACAACATTAATAAAGCCATATTCCTTGAGTATTTGCAACTAAATACACAGACCTTCTGTAAGTAATATGCATAAATCTCAATATGCAAAAACCAAATCTTTTATAATAATCAGAACCATTTTGAAATGCTAGGTAGGTATAGGCAGTTTTAGTTTTAAAAAGGATTAATGGATTAATTCAAAATACCTCCCCCCACACACATATTCATGAAGCCTCATTCTGGCATCTTTTGTTCAGTCCATATGTATATACAACATATAATAAAATTTCAGTATTCATATTCTCCTTCCTTAATTGCTTCTACAAAATACAATCAATAAATTGGTTTTTAGCTTTCTACCTTGCAGCAAGATGCAGTCTGGAAATACACCTATGAATGGCATAGCACTACTATCATTCTAACACGGTTTCTAATCACTTTGTTTGCCAAAAGCACTTGGTTCTTGGATATATTCTTCGGAAAAAAAACTGGAATATTTAGTAGTTTTCAGCCATTTTCTCCAGGAGCTCACATTCAAGTCCTTTTAAGTACACCAATGCCTGCTGGAGTAGTACAAAACAATCTTAAATCTCACCCTTATCAGAGCTAACTACAATGAAAAATATTTTCTCCTCAAGCTAAAAGCTGTCTGGTTTTGCATATACTTGCAGGCCCTAACTTAAAGCTAGCTTCTCCTGTGAAAAAAGTGACTTTCTGGGCTTGACCTAGAGCTTTTCTTTTCAGCCTTACCAAATGTTTTGCTCCTCCTCCAACCTCTTCCAGCACTCATCTCTTCATCAAGTTCCATGTGATCATCCAATGTACCAAGCATTACAGTTGTGCAACAACACTGGAGGTGACAGCAAACACCAGCAGCTCAAAGCCTTTCCTAGACATTCAGATTTGTGGGGATACACAAAGTTTTTCAAAATTTACCCCATATTGTAGTAGGGGAGAAAGGGTACAGAAGTCAAAAGGCACCAGAGCTTTCTGCTTCCAACTTCCTTAATAAGGCATCCCATAACATCCAACATACACTTTCTGGATTGTCCTACAAATGATTTTTTAAAGTTATAAACCTTTGAAAACTGAAGTTAATAAAATGGTGACTCTCATGGTATATCTCATTGCTAGGCAACAGGAAAAATACTCTGTTAACACATAGTGTAATTAAATTATAATGCTTCATTTAATTTATGGTAGTGTAAACATTTTATTTCATGTATTTTCTTCAAATTCATGGATTGAAAAAGAAATGAGCTGCCTATCAAATTAAGTGTACTCTGTTTTAATAGTTACAAATTTGAGCACAGAAAAACAGAGAAGCTACACCATTCCAGCAGGAGTGGAGAGGACACCTTGCCACTGTGTACAGTAGGAGGAATACAGGATTTTGCCCCACAGATTCTGAAAAAAAAAAACACAGTAAAGATGCCAAGGTCCCTAAGTATTGAATATGTAAGAACTACCCTCCCCAAACCTCTCTGAGCCACGCCACTGCTGGTGGTGCTGAACTGGTGAAAGTCAGGTGGCAAACTAGATTGGAAAAACTAACCTTGTTTTTCATTTTGAATGCAGTCAAGTAATTATCCTCAAAATTTCATTTTCCTCTTTTTCATTTGTAATTCAGGGCAAGAAGGGAGAGCTGCACCAAAATGATACAGGCAAAATTTCTGTAGAGACCTGAGCTAGTCTATTTGCCTAGTAGTGAGCAGTAGTGTCTAGACATATAGATTTACTCAGACTTGGGCTGGGAAATGCTGCACATATGTCCCCATTTCTCAGTGTGGACTACCTTTTATTTGCTTTTATTCTGCAAGGATTGGATACCATTCAGTTGTTCCTCCATTACCCTCCTACAGGAATACAGCAGTATGAAAATCTTTTATTAAACACATTATTGAATTTGAATTGAAATTTGGACAATTTGTTACAGAAGTGTACACTTTTTTTAACAGAAGAAGAAATTCCAGGTCCGTTACTAAACTGCAGCATAGTAGAAACAAAGAGGGGAAAGGCATTTTAAAATTTAGAACTGGAACATAAAATCAGGAGTGGCTTTTTGAAATCTACTTTTGCCATTAATTCAACATTATTAAAATGGACCACATAATCAGGTTGTGACATAAAACACTCACTGGAATGCAAATACTATTTATATGCAACAATTTACCAAATCTGGACCACTCTCCTCATGTTCTCAATGACTTCTAAGAAGGCTGTGTGTATGCAAATGTGGTTTCACACAGGAAAATGAGCTCAGATTAACAGCACATTACAGCAAACGAGTTCCCTTTGCAAGCAATAGGCAGACAGGGCTACAAAAGCCTGCCTTGTAGCATCTGAAATCTGTCAGCACCTTTGCATGTACAGAGGTGTTAATGTCTTTGCCCCTCTAATGTATACAGTGTGTAAAACATTTCAAAGCATAGAAATGTAATTGCGTTTTCCTTAAGCACAGCATTCATCTTTTTTTAAAAAGGTTTAACTTGACATTTATTGTTAAGCAAAGTAATTAAGTGCCATGTGCTTCCGTGTATTTTCCCTTGCTCAGAAACCCCTCGAATGCTTCTATGTAAATCACTTTAATCAATCATTCTGTTTATGTGACAATCCATAATCAAAATACCAGATATGCATTTTGAGTAGGGCCTCTAAATAGCAAGTTAAACCCAAGGTAGAACACAGAGATACAGATGACATTTCTGCTGAGGAATGAAGCCTGAGCATCCTCTGTGCATCCGGCAGAAATGATGGAAGCATTAGAACAGAAGAGGGATTGCCACTTATGACTTTGAAGTAATCCTCATGTTTGGTTGTTTGGTAAATAAGAGAAGATATTATTTATTTGTTCTTATTAAGAGGAATACATGCAGAGTTACAATCAAACATTATGCAGGTGCAGACTTGACAGCAGCCAGCCAAACTGAAGTCTCAGAAAAACAGCAAGAGCTACATTGCAGGCAGTTAAGTTCTATTCCTGCCAGATCCATCCTCCTCTCCCAACTACTTTTGTCTGTATGCTAATGACTTAATACAGGCAAACAGCTGAACAAAGTAAAGGTAAGAAATTGTGTTCCTAAATGAAGATTTATATACCTATTCACATGTGCTTATGAGTTAAAATAAAA